AAACCAATACATTATTATGTTTTGTTATTGATTACTAAATAAGGTGATTTCTGCTTAAATAGTTGTTTAGCTAGCTTAGTTTTGTAAAAGTGCCCCCATTTTTTTTTATCAATAACTCAATCAAGAAGTCAATGTCAACTATACTTCATGTAACAACAGTGTGATGTGTAATACATTAGGACCACCGGGGACCAGAATAATGCCTATTTTCCTGTTGGACTAATTATGTGCATTATTATCTCATTAAACATCTGTGTATATGTGTCCTCCAAAACAGATCAGAGAGATAGTTTTGTGACCGTACAGAATCCAGCCCGGCACCACGTTCCCGGTGTCACATTATCCGGTAGTGACATTTTTTGACATGTTTGCAGCCGTTATTCCTGGTCTGACACCAGCTCCTCTCAGAATCAAAAGGCAGCAGAGATTTTGCAGAAGGTAATTCTAAGGCGTGAAAAGACACAGTGCAACAGGTCTGTGCAGAAATCCCATGTTCTTATGTTCTTATGATTGTGTAAAGTCTGGCATCGCACCACAGACTCCTGAAGGAATGTGTTCGAATGTGAAGAAAATCTAATCAAATATGTGAAGCAGGTATTCTTCAATGGAAAAGGGGAATTCATGATGTTACGTCGACTCTGTTTTATTTATGTGCTGTGGGTTTTTCAAAGATTAACATTTAACGCATCAATGTTTAATTCAATTGCACTTTTACAGCTTCAAGATACATACACGCCTCGCACTCGCATTTTGGTTTATAAATGACTAACTGCTAAGGATTTTTTTTAAAGGAACCCTAAGTGCCCTTTGGTAACTGCTAAAAATCTTCTAAAGAATGACACTTGTACTTTATAATGGCCTTTTAAGTTTTTATTGTTTTATTATTCTTGGTTAAAAATTTCTATAAACATTTCTCAAGTTTTTTTGGACACTCAAAGTCTCTTCACATTGATTTTCTTTCTCTCCAAACACGGTGGTGATAAACTACTACTGTAGCCACAGCTGCCCTGGGGCACACTGACAGAAGCGAGGCAACCAGTCTGTGCCATCGGCCCCTCCCACCACCAACCATTCACACACACACCAGACTCATTCTAATGTGGGGGAAGTGTCTTGCCCGAGGACAGAACAACAGCAGACATCAGTGGGAGTCAGTGTCTTATGGTGGGCTCGAACCCACAACCTTCAGGTTTAAAGGCCGCTACCAACTGAGCCACTGTCGCCTAAAACATCAGAGAACAGAATGAGCCTCTCGTTTGGGTCGCCAATTTCTCTGATGAATAACCGGAACATCAGAGCAGGTTGTTTGCGTAACTCAAGGTTAGATTGGAATTGTAAACTTTTCAACTTGAGCATAAAACACATGGGAAGAAGCACAGCCCTGTTACAGCCATGGAGGTTTTAAATGATGTAGTGCCCTTGACTGCAAAGATACTGTGCTGCCTTGTTTCTTGATCTTTCCAAGGCGTTTGACACTGCGGACTTTAGGTTATTGATAAAAACTCTTTCCAAAATGGCGTCTCTGTCCAAGCAGCTGAGTGGTTCACTGACTACCTGTCAAACAGGTCACAGTGCGTTCAAGTGTCTGGGTCAACTTCCTCCTTTTTAGAAGTGCCTAAGGGGGTTCCACAGGGCTCAGTTTTAGGCCCTCTGTTGTTCTCAATTTATGTGAACAATCTCCCAAATGCGTCTTACCTTTATGAAGACGACACGGTTATTTACTCACATCTTTAACAGAGGCCTACGAGGACCTACAAAAGCTTTTACTATTGTACAATCTCGTCTGCACGCCCTGAAACTAGTTTTGAATGCTGAAAAAAACAAAACTAATGGGTAAACAGATGTGTGGATAGTTTCAAGTATCTGGGATTTGTTATTAACTCTGGACTATCTTTTAAAATGCTCAAGCTGGGATTTTATTTCAGGAACAAATCATGTTTTGCCCTTAGAACCCGAAAACGATTTGTTTCTGCCACTTTTTTTTACCCTTGATTGATTTTGTTGATGTTTTTATAACTCTGCATCAGCTCAGTCTCTGCCAATGGGTATTGTCCTGGTTAAATAAAGGTTAAATAAACACACGGTTCCTTTAACCTCCTAAGACCTGCCGTCCACATGTGTGGACATCACATTTTGGGCTGTACAAACATAATACTTCATCCTGATTTATTGGGGCCTGGGGTCCACATACAGCAATACCTACACTGCACAAGCTAACACAAAACAAAATGGCTGGCCGCGCACAGGAAAGTTCACATGCAAGTTCCCAACCAAAAAATCCACCAAGTAAAAATTCCAATCCGATTTCAAAGATTATTCTTGTTCAGATAGTTTTATAAGTGATGTAAGTTTGTCATGGCATGTAAATTTTACAATAATTACAATTTAAAAACCATTGTCTGGACTGCTAAACATGATGTCCACATATGTGGACAGAAGGACTTAGTTTTGTTGAAAATTGTTCTAATCGCATGTGGAATGCACCTGTGTTCGATGGAATTTTTTGCCATTATTGTCAAGTTTTTCTATGTCACCATCAACTAAAAGGGCCACCTGTTGAATCAAGCCAGTGTGCCAGCATACTATATAATTCCAAAATTAGTGCTTACTTGCTCTTTGATTTAGTCTATTTCCTATGAGTTAAATCCATCCATCCATCTATTTTCTTCCGCTTCATCCGTTGCCGGGTCGCAGAGATGCCCAGACTTCCCTATCCACACACACTTACTCCAGTTTGTCAGGGGGGAGCCCAAGGCCTTTCGGCTCAGCTTCACCGCGACCGCATCACTGCGCACGCTGCACCGATCCGCCTGTCAATCTCACGCTCCATCCTTCCCTCACTCGTGAACAAGACCCCGAGATACTTGAACTCCTTGAGGAAAGACCTCTCCACCCACCTGTAGAGGGCAAGGCACCTCGGAGCCAACAGGACAACATCGTCTGCAAAAAGCGGAGATGAAATCCTGTGGTCCCGGAACCGGACCCCCTCCTGCATCTAGAAATTCTGTCCATAAACACAGTAAACAGAACCGGTGACAAAGGGCAGCCCTGGCGGAGGGACCACCGCCCCGGTCTGCCCACGATCGCCTCGCGATGTTGCAGAGACATGTCAGCCAAGACAGTCCTACAATAGACTTTAGATAGTCTTTGCGGATCTCATCCACTCCCAGAGCCTTGCCACCAAGGAGGGTGCCAACCACCTTGGTGACCTCTGCTAGGGAGATGGAGGTATCTACCCCAACATCCTCAGCCTCTGTCTCCGTTCTGGAGGACGTGACGGGGGTATTGAGGAGAACCTTGAAGTATTACTTCCACCGCCCGACAAGATCCCCAGTGGAGGTCAGCAGCTCTTCGCCCGACACCGTCCACGGTGTTGGCAAAGAACTGCTTCCCCCTCCTGAGGCGCCGGACGGTTTGCCAGAATATCTTCAATTTATTAAGGCCGACCGATAGTCATGCTCCATGGACTCTCCAAACTCCTCCCAGTCCCGGGTTTTTGCCTCTGCAACCCCTGTACCATGCCGGGCGACGTCACAGTTCTTAATATCATGCTATTTATGTTGGCTTTGTACTGCGCTTCGTCTGATTCGTCACCTGAGACCTGTCTGCCATGGGAGACCCTACCAGGGGCATGAATCCCCAGACAAATAGCTCCCAGGATCATCCGAGTACTCTTTTTGCTGTTTTTGCACTGAGATATGTTTGAACATGTTCCTTGTTCAATATTGTTCATTTATCAAATGTTTGTGTCGAAATAAAGCGTTTTTCACTTTATTACACGTTGCATTAAGTCGTTACTTAATTGCCTTTTTTATGGAAATTCAGACCGAGCGTCCACATATGTGGACAGCATTTTTCTCAAAATTTACATCATGTCAAGAGATGATGCTTAGTATATATTCTTATCAGGCCCCAATATGCCCAATTAGCCAAGATAAATAAAAAATGCATTGCAAAAAAGTGCTCGGGTCTTAGGAGGTTAAAGCAAAACAATAATTCAGACGGCGCGTTTCATTTCCTCATTCTTGCTTCTTCTTCGGGGCAGTTTATTATTGTTATAGATACATAGTTCTTTGCGATCCTTGGGTATTTTAGTATTATATATAAGTATAGTTCTACACAATCCTGGAGGACTTTATTATGATATATATACATAGTTTAAGCTGTACTTTTGTTCTCTCAATGGATGTAAACTGGGCTTGTTTTAATCATTCTAGACCAACACTAGGACTCGGGTGGAAAATGAGATGTTTGTATTAATATCGAAACTCTCAAAGATACAACACAAAAGATACAATGAGAAGCTGTTCTTAAAACCATTAGAACCATTAGAACCATTAAAACCATTAGAACCATTAGAACCATTGGAACCATTGGAACCATTAGAACCATTAAAACCATTAAAACCATTAAAACCATTAGAACCATTAGAACCATTGGAACCATTAGAACCATTAGAACCATTAAAACCATTAAAACCATTAAAACCATTGGAACCATTAGAACCATTAAAACCATTAGAACCATTAGAACCATTATTGCAGCAACAGAAACTGGAAGAACAAACCCAGACGACCTCAGAGGACACATTTCTTTTGTCTATATATATATATATATATATATTCAGGTGATACTCAGAAAATTAGAATATTAATAAAATGTCCATTGACTGTAATTCATGAGAAACTGAATATGACTTAATAATTATTTTTGTTGCAGTGCTGATAATTGGAGCTTGGAAAAACCCCAATAAAAATATACAGAAGACAGATTTTAAGCTTTAATCAACATTAAAACAAACCGAGGCTTACGTTGCATGTGATACATCTGTTTGGGTTTCACATTTTAAGTGGAATTATCAAAATAAATGAACTTTTGAATCATAGTCTACATTTGTTCTGATTTTTACTTGTATTCCAGTGTGAAAGTGTCAAGCACAACAGTCATAACAATCGCCAAACAGAACCTAAAATAAGATTATTTAAGTGAATCTATAACAACTATTCTATCAAAGATTTAACCTGGAACACCATAAAGCACATACTACACATATTCTTAAAAACATGCTCCAGTACCAGAGTCTGAATGCAGCTGGTATGTGCTGCTCTTTCTCTTTTAGCTTGGTTTTGCTACAACCTGGTACAATGCATCTCTCCTTTTGGCTAATGTTGACTGTACACTGTCCCTGTAAAAATAAAAACCATACCAAAAACCATAGCACATACGGTTTCCTTCTCTCCTGTTCCTCTAATCTCGAAATGGCCGTGGTCTTTTTCAATCTCGGACAAACCATCATAAATCTTCTCACGCACCTGATTGGAAAAGACATGACTCATGGGATGTCATTGGTCTGAGATGGCACAACCTTGGCTGTAAAGATGACAGCTATTGAGTTTTTAGCTTTATTAGAAAGTGATAACTCAAAAACTGGGGCAAAAATATTGATTATCTGATTTTGTATAAAAGCAGGGCTAACTGTCCCGTTTATTGATGAAGCAGATTCCTTTAAACAATTGGGAGATGACTGTATGCACCCTGTATCTTCATCTTCTCTGAGAGCTCTGCTGTTGTTAAGCCAGTGTCACATCATATCTTATTTACTGTCTCCTGTTTGTGCTGCTGCAGAATTTCAATGAGCAGGTTCAACATGACTGCAATATTCTAGAGGTAATGCCTCTGTGACCAGAAACCGTAAACCAGACTGGGACTGTAGGATAACAATAACAGATAACATGTCATCACCATGGTTATCATGTGGCGGCCATCTTGGGCCAAAACCTTCAGGATCAGAGGCTTCAGGCTGCACCTTTACAACAGTTGGGCCCGTGTTTATAAAATACACATTATGGGAAGGATTGTGGAGTGTTTTGGATGTGATTGGTTCATAACAGCACGTTTTTAGAAGCTTACCTTAAATTCTTCCAGAATCTTGTAAGTTTTCCCTCGATACTCGCAAAAGTTTTTCACCTCTTTGCACTCGGGGCAGCAGCCATTGTGCTCCACTTTGGTGCACTTGGGGTGCAGTTTGGGGCACTCGGGCTGGTCGCAGACAGGCCCGTCCTCCGTGCATGCGCATGGACAGTTCGAGTGGCCCGGGAAGAAGCGCTCTCCCAGTTTGTAGACGAAGCCGCTGTCGTCCACGCAGCCTTTGCCGCGATAGTCATCAAAGACCAGGTCTGGGCTCTGCCGCTCCGCCTCGTCCGCCGCGTAGTCCTGCACCGGGAGGCTTCCCACCGCCGCGGGGGCCACAGGGGCCACACGCAGCACCAGCACGAGCACCAGCACGAGCACCAGCACGAGCGGCACAGGGGCCCACAGGCGCACGCGCACGAGCATGTTCAGCCGCGTCACGGACATCCACGTTCAGCGCGCGCGTGTGCGTGGCATCTCTTCAGGTGCGCGGGGTCCGCTCCGGGTCCGCTCCGCACTGCGCTCACATCTGCAGCTCACACAGGATCACAGCGCTCCGCATGGAACAGCACGGACTGAGACTCTGTGGTCCGCTCTGCATGGAACAGCACGGCCTGGTCCACACTTCAGTCAGTCTGGGATCCACAGATTATGGCTCTGCCTCAGAGCAGCGGCTTTAGGTCCAAACCGGAGCAGAACAGGTTAAATCATGCATTCACAGAGAGTCAGCTGGAGACGGTTCATCACTGTATTCTGCTCCACAGCCGCCAAAGCCTCTGCTGAGGTTTGCCACAAACTCTGCGAAGAAACAACAGGTAGTCATTCGCCTGGAACCATTTACTTGGTTTTTATTCTGCCTCGGTCATGACAATTACGCTGAAGCTCATGTTATGATATCAGCTAAAAGAGCCTTTGCCAATCTATATTTGATGCGCAATGACAAACGCAGGGACTAGAAGCACAATCCACTCAGACTAAATAAACATTTGCTTAGCCATTCAAATATTTAGCCTATTAAGTGGAAAGTCCGCTCAATCAATTAAACTACTTATGCACACTCACCACGCCAAATGGCTTTGATATAATCTTGCAGTGAATCCACAAAGCCCATAGAAAGAATATGCGTTGGTTAAATATACTGAAGAAATATGGTAAACTTCACTTTTATCCACAGTGGTGAATTCAGCACGATGCTCTGCACAATATTCCTCTTATTCGTTTGTAGCAAAGAAGCTGAAAAGCAACGAAACACAATTCCACGTTAATCCAAAGTAGATCTTATTTGTCATCGCCAGTTGTTTTGGGTCGTGCAAAATAGGACTTAGAATGTCAAAATGCGTATCCAATCCTCTGGCGTTTCCTAAGCAGCCGAAGTCTATTTCCCCAGTATTGCAGGGAGACATCTGAAGCCGCGCACTCGTCCCACATCCGTCATTGTAGATAGAAAAAGAATCCACGAGACATTAAAAAGCCAAATGCAGCTGCCGTTTGAGCTGGCTTTCCTCACCACGACTGAGAAGAGAGCGCTTGGAGTTTCAGCACCTCGGAGAGCGACCGTGCTCCTGCGTCCTGCACTGCGTGAGGACAAGAGCGCCCCCAGCGGTTCATCCACGCACCGACAGGACAGAGGCAGCAGCAGCATCAGCCCTGTTCAGGAGCAGGAATGGGTTAATGACGAGGAGAAGGCAGGAGATCAGGAAGAAGTCGTCATTTCAGAAAGAGCCGCTGGTAAACAGAAGGGTGTGTTCCATGGGTGCAGTGGATTTGGCCTCATGTTTGACAGGGTTTGTGTTTGTGAAAGTATTTTGTAAAGTAGAGCGACAACTCTCACAACACAGAGAGAAGTCTGATGCTTAGAGGTCATATTAGATTACACACGATCCAAGAGCAGTATTTACAGAGATGGTCCAAAACTCCCAAATATACAAACCCCATTGACCAAAACTACAGTCAGGAGTCAGTCAAGTTTGTAAGACCTGTGAAGCTAAGCAGGCTCGTACTGTGAGGTCTCCCATCACAGTACTAATGTGAGACCTCTGGGAACACCAGGTGCCACAGTGGTGCTAAAGTGCTGCTGTGTCCTTGGGCAAGACTCTTCCCTCACATTGCCTAAATGAGTTTGGTGTGTGTGTGAGTGGTTGCCTTGTTTCTGTCAATGTGCTCCAGGGCAGCTGTGGCTACAGTGTTGATCACCACTATGTCTAGAATGTAGGAATAATTGTGCAAATTTGAGAATCAAAAATAAAACTATAGAAACCGTTCAGTTCTGGAACACGATACCAGTCCATTTAAGAAAGAGCACCACACTCAAGACTTTTAAACATACGTTAAAAACCTGGTTATTGGACAACAGAGATTGTAGCCACTCATCATGTGTTATTTTCTTGTATATGTTTTGAAGACGTGTTTTAAATTGTAATGTTTTAACTAATTACCTTTTTATTGTTATGTTTGCAGTGCACTTTGATGGCATTTTACACCTTGCCTTGGGACTACAGTTGGAAACTAGCTGTAGCTAATACTGACACATTTAAAGCAATGTTGATGAATGTGTATTGTCCCTAATACAATAATAATAAATATAATAAATAAATAGTTTTCATTTTTGTGTTTCAGTTTATTGCTAAAATAGGAGCATATTTTGAATGGGAATTATCAGTACGCAAAATGTTGTGTGACCTTCTATCTGAAAACGCTTTAAGTAAAGTTACTACTTTACCATATTTCAGCCTCAAATTTGTATTGCAAAAGTATCTTTAAATAGATTATTGTCAAAAATGTATTAGTTACACAAATCTAATACATTTGTTGACATTTGACATTCCACAGAGTGAAACTCACTGTATTTCAGACATATTGCACAAGCATTATAGAGATATTAACGGCTTATTAACCGAGCGCGAGGTCTGTATGGGGAAATATCAGACCGCGGCCTTAATGTACAGACAGAGCCGTGGTGAGGTCTGTGCAAAAAGACCAAGGTACAGACCGAGCAAGCAAGGTTAATAAATGTTTTATTATATGACTATTTTTAATTTATGCAAATATTGATCTCCAACTTGGTTTTCCTAATTGTGTTTTTAGCTTTCTAGTCTGTAACGAAGTTGTCAATCTCATCTTGTCTGTTAGTTATTTTTTCTTAGTTATTTTCTGTAATTTCTTCCTCTGGCTCGTCAAACTCGTCCGGATAAAAGAATTCACTGGAGAATGCTCCCAGTTGTCGCCCATTATTTCTTTTTTACCGAGGAAACTCAGGAAAGAAATCAATTGTGATACGCGCTGTTCGGACCAATTGTCATGGTAACGGTCTGAGATGGGAAAATATCAGACCGGTAATCAGCCAATCAGAGCGCACGTACGATCCAAGTCATATAATAATGCGAACACTTTGGAAATGTCTGTACATAATAAATGTTGTTCTACTGCCTTTCTTTCATCCTTTGGTCCGCCTTAAATCCAGTAACAACATTCTTTAATCATATGCAAATATGTGTGACCCAAAAGACCATCATATCATTAGTCATTCCTAAGTGGAATCGCTCTCATCTCATAAACTGCGACCTCTGCACTTTTCCTGTTGCTCTGGACGTGGAGCAGCTCGGCAATGATTAAAACTGCTGTTCAGAGAAATGTGAGGCCCTGAAACACCTGTCCTCCCCAGGGTGAACCAGGCCTGTCCTCCCCAGGGTGAACCAGGCCTGTCCTCCCCAGGGTGAACCAGGCCTGTCCTCCCCAGGGTGAACCAGACCTGTCCTCCCCAGGGTGAACCAGGCCTGTCCTCCCCAGGGTGAACCAGGCCTGTCCTCCCCAGGGTGAACCAGGCCTGTCCTCCCCAGGGTGAACCAGACCTGTCCTCCCCAGGGTGAACCAGGCCTGTCCTCCCCAGGGTGAACCAGGCCTGTCCTCCCCAGGGTGAACCAGACCTGTCCTCCCCAGGGTGAACCAGGCCTGTCCTCCCCAGGGTGAACCAGACCTGGTTGTGTGCCACGTGCACGGTCTCCGTGCACATACGTGATCTTAAATGTTTAACATTAGTGTTAAATAGACTTCAGTTTGTGATTCTCCAGACGTTGGTGAAGCATAATCTCACATCTGTTTATGAAACCCAGAGTTTTTTAAAACATTTATTAATGATTCTAAACGTGCCTTTGACAGGGACCATGGGCTCAGAGCAGGTGACAGCTGTAGCAGAGCAAAGAGAAGCTGCAATCACAAAATAACTTGTGCCTCCATTAAACTGTAACTTTCAGTGTGTCGTTTCTGTGTAATTATTGTGTAATTATTGTGTCTGCTCAGACATTAGCCTGTAGCAGACGGGAGTGGCTCACTTACTGTACATGTCAGAGCTGATGCTACGGGTGTAGGACCATTCTGTCCATACCATGGAGTCCATACCATGGATTCCATACCATGGGTTCCATACCATGGGGTCCATACCATGGGGTCCATACCATGGGGTCCATACCATGGGGTCCATACCTGGTTAGCAGCCAGTGGCTCAGTGCCTGCCTGGTTTGTGGCTCCAGTAGTAATATTGCATTGCGTTTTACAAATAGAAGTTTATAAGTTTGAAATCTTGCTTGGGGCTAATAAACAACGTGGTAAATTATGATTTGTTTTAACTTTAGAAACCACACAATTGTTTTGCTTTTACAACACAGTTCATTATGTACTCTTTATAACGTCTACTTTTATTCTTATTAAGTACAACTAGTACTCACACACACAGTACCACCACACCACACAACCTCCACATAAAGCCCCCTGCTCCTGAGCGTACATATCCTCCTGGGAATCCTTCAGCTGTTTTCCTTACTAACCATGCATCCATTGCTTTTGTAGCTGGATAAAAATATCTTCTCTCCACAGACCTCAGATAAATCATGCATCTTGGACAATCTGACTCCGGTGCGCTCACAAATGCACCGCAAACTTCTGCCCACATCACATCCCCCTCTTAAGTGAAACATCTTGGCCGTTGACCCGGTTAGAAAGAAGAAACGGCAATGCTCCACGGTTAGTATGGCCTCTCGTCTTGCCGTACGCTCGACGATGCTGCAGAACAAGTATCATTTATTACATCTGACATTGCACTTGAGTAAATGTAGGATCCTAATGTGAGATGTGTTGTGTCCGACCGCCAGGGCTGCTCTTCCGGCACGCCATGGTCCATTAGGCCTTCACTCTGGCTGAGGACAAACACAGCACTGGATGATGGGAAAAACAGCAGCGCACAGAACACCCGCCATTAACACAACATATACCTGCGTTTAAGAGACAGCCCCACGACGCTCGGCGGAGGTGGTTATTTACATTTCACTGACTTTTAGACAAATCCAAATTAGCCAAACGTAGCCAGCTGCAAACAGACGTGGAATGAGTCATCAGCTTCAGAACTCGCTTTGTTTGAGTTTACAAATCTGTGACCGTAGGACTCTCAGTATAGACTGATTGAATGCTTTGTTTCGAGCCAAACATAACCATAACATTCATAAAGCACTGTACCCACACACGGGCAACACATGAAGGACCAAACAAAGAGGTACAGGGAGGATCTGCGCAACATGGGAGTTATATATCTACAGTACAGATCCAGGGAGTTTGGCTCAAAAAGGAGTGGGAAGAAGAAGACTTATGTGATCCCCTTGTTCCTACATTTCATTACTTAGCTTAGTTCCTGGGCTTTCTAACATACGTACATAAATATATACTGTACATACTTACATATACACATACACATATATACACATGCACAGAACAGACAGAGACATACTTTATTGATTCCTCGTTGGAGAAATGCGGGTGTTCAGTGGTCACAAAAATAAAACATATAACTGATCATTCTAAAGGTATCAAACATTAGTAATAAAATACATAAGTCCTTCAGGTCACAGCAGCAGAGGTGGAGCTTGGTTCAGACCATTTTCTCTGCTCTGGTCCAAAGTAAAATGCTAAATACTTCATTAGCATGTTTCAAAAAGTTAGCATTCCTCCAGTGGATTTTCTCCTGATCCACTTGGTTCGGACCATGAATCCTCTCTGCTCTGGTCTGGACCAGTGTAAAACCATGAATCCTCTCTGCTCTGGTCTGGACCAGTGTAAAACCATGAATCCTCTCTGCTCTGGTCTGGACCAGTGTAAAACCATGAATCCTCTCTGCTCTGGTCTGGACCAGTGTAAAACCATGAATCCTCTCTGCTCTGGTCTGGACCAGTGTAAAACCATGAATCCTCTCTGCTCTGGTCTGGACCAGTGTAAAACCATGAATCCTCTCTGCTCTGGTCTGGACCAGTGTAAAACCATGAATCCTCTCTGCTCTGGTCTGGACCAGTGTAAAACCATGAATCCTCTCTGCTCTGGTCTGGACCAGTGTAAAACCATGAATCCTCTCTGCTCTGGTCTGGACCAGTGTAAAACCATGAATCCTCTCTGCTCTGGTCTGGACCAGTGTTGTTCAGGTTTTAAAACAAATATATCACACATAGATCACCCGAAGTCTTGTAGGTAAAGTATTATATTGGTAAAGTGTTGATTATTCTGATTAGGGCTGTGATCAAAAAGTTCTGTGGAAAGTGGAACCAAAGTGTGTCTTTTTAAAACCCTGAATTTTCTATATACAAGTAGTGAAAACACAGGCCATTCTTTTATGTGGATAATAACATTTGTATCCATTGATTTAAGTACATTGTCATTACTTAAAAAAATTGTATAAAAAAAGCTTCAATAATTAGTTAATCATGCACTAATTAAAATACCAGCCCTAAGGGCCGGGTTACCGCAGTCTAATTAGTCTCAAGTCTTTGAGTAAGAAAAACCGTAACGGAAAAGACTGTTTGTGTCGTGAGATCAAAAGGTCTGAGGAAAGACACGTGAAAGGGTTTGTTTGTAAATAGGTCATGTGTAAGACTTGGTTGACTGTAATGTAAGAATGTGTGCAATAACAGGGTGTGTGCAATAATGGGATGTGTGCAATTATCTGATGTGCGCAATAATCTGATGTGTGCAATAACAGGATCTGTGCAATTATCTGATTTGTGCAATAATGTGATGTGTGCAATAATCTGATGTGTGCAATGTGCAATTATCTGATTTGTGCAATAATGTGATGTGTGCAATAATCTGATGTGTGCAATAACAGGATCTGTGCAATTATCTGATGTGTGCAATTATGTGATGTGTGTAATAATCTCATGTGTGCAATAACGGGGTGTGTCTAATAATCTGATGTGTGCAATACCAGGATGTGTGTGATAATCTGATGTGTGCAATGATGTGGCCTCTAACATTGTGGATTTCGGTGAACTATAATGTGTGGCCTGTGAGAGAATTAAAGCTGTTTATTTTCTGTTGATGTTGCTGTACTTGTCCCTGACCTTGTGATTATGATCATGTGACCCTAACCATGTGACCCGGACCATGTGACACTGACCATGTGTGACATTGACCATGTGACCCTGACCCTATGGGAATACAGATGGAAAGCACCCTTTGGCTATAATCTGGCATGTTCACATTAATGTTTTTAATGTGTTTGTTCATTGACCTGTCCCTTTCAAATAAATAAATACTGTAAGAGATTGTGGATTACTTAAATCAAGAAGATAAATAAATGTATGAAGAAAATGACCTCACGTTTGTCTTACATTTACAGTCAGATGGTCATTGTTGAAAGTGTCATGTAGGATTTCTGCTACTTTGACGCCTTAAGGTTTAACCAGAAATGTACTTGTGTTTTTAGTAATGTAAACATATTTCTAAAGCCTTCGCCAGCGTCAATCTTTTCCTGAAAATCTTGCAAATACTAACCATTTTCATATGCAATGTTTTACACAGTCCACAGTCGACGGAGGAGAGCGTTCTGGTGACATTCTGCTGAGGTGTTTATTTACATCTCCATTACATTTGCTGCAAGTCAAACAAACCCTCACAGCCTCAATCAGCTAATGGAAAGCTCAGACTCTTCAGCAGCCTCCTCTTCCTCCTCTTTCCTCTCCTCCGCCATCCTGACATCTTTCTATTGCCTCCCGCCAGCAACGCATTCACTACAGCAGAGCGCCGTACCGAGCGCTATAATGGTTTTGCCATTAGGGCTACATTTATAGGCTGCTAGCAGGTCGCCGCCATTGTGCTCGGTCACAGCTATTCACGCTAACTTATCAAACTGAATGCAAGGAAGAGCGAGCGTGGAGAGGATACAGATAGTGCCAGGGAGCCTCAGGTGAATGGGGACTTTCTACAACTGGAGAATATATCCAGTTCTTTTACAGAGATCGGGGATATGCTTAATAAAGCGTTGGAAAGGACTCCTCAAGCAGGAATTTTAAACAAAAGCTTTATGGCTCTCACTCTCTGGATCCTCTGTACATGTTTTTAAATTAACCCGACTTCTGCAATATCACTGTGGCAGATTCCACACTGAGTTTACTGTTACTGTGTTATGTGTAATATTTGGTTGACTGTAATGCAAAGAATGTGTGCAATAAATAATCTGATGTGTGCATTAACAGGATGTGTGCAATAATCTGATGTGCGCAATAACGGGATGTGTGCAATAATTGTATGTGTGCAATAACAGGATGTGTGCAGTAATTGTATGTGTGCAATAATGGGATATGTGCAATAATCTGATGTGTACAATAATCTGATGTGTGCAATAATGGATATGTGCAATAATCTGATGTGTGCAATAACAGGATATGTGCAATAATGAGATGTGTGCAATAAATTGATGTGTGGAAAAACAGTATATGTTAAATTATGAGATGTGTGCAATTATTGTATGTGTGCAATAATGGATATGTGCAATAATCTGATGTGTGCAATAACGGGATGTGTGCAATAATGGGATGTTTGAAATAATCTGATGTGTGCAATAACGGTATATGTGCAATAATCTGATGTGTGCAATAACTAGATATGTGCAATAACTAGATATGTGCAATAATTGTATGTGTGCGACAACAGGATGTGTGCAGTTATTGTATCAAACTGAATGCAAGGAAGAGCGAG